ACTATGTCTGTGGACTGGTTTTATTACCATATATTACTGGGTGAAATACCAGATATTACTGGGTGAAATGTTTCCTTTGGTCAAAGACAGCTTAACTATTTTCTGCCTTCATGCTGCCACTCACCACTTTTTTCCTTCCTTGTCTTTTTTTGTTTTTTGAAAGTCTGTTTTTTTCCCAGATGTCATTTCAGAGATTCAGCCTACTGAGTAGGAACCCCCTGCACTGATGCAGGGGAGAAAAGCCAGCTGTCATAGAAAACACATTAAGGAATTTATAACTCTACATGATTGTAAAGTACTATATAAAATATTGCACCACTTATGAAGCAGTAAAAATCTGTAACATTAGAGACTGATTGCCACATTACATACCCACAGAAGAGAAGAATTAAGGTCTTACAGGCAATTCTGAGAATAAAACATGTACCTATATATAGAGATAATGGCTTTGAACTCATACCCTTGCATACAAGAGTAGTGACCAGCTATTCACTGCTACAGATACCCAAAACTACTTCAGTGTCTGCGGTCTTCCTTGTACAGAGAGCCTAGGGAAGGGATCACCACCTATTCAGAGACCAATTTCTCTCCCACTGTGCTGTTGTTCTTTCCTTACCGTGTAATGTTTAATTATGCAAACCAGAAAGTTATAGAATCATAGAATCAGAATGGTTTGGGTTGGAAGGGACCTTAAAGATCATCCAGTTTGACCCCCCCTGCCATGAGCAGTGACCCCTTCCACTAGACCTCGTTGCTCAAAGCCTCATCCAGCCTGGCCTTAAACACTTCCAGGGAGGGGGCATCCACAACTTCCTTGGGCAACCTGTTCCAGTGTCTGACCACCCTCACAGTGAAGAACTTCTTCCTAATATCTAATCTAAACCTGCCCTCTTTCAGCTTAAACCCATTTCCCCTTGTTCTGTCATTAACTGCCTTTGTAAAAACTCCCTCCTCAGCCTTCAGGGGAAGCCCGCTATAAGGTCTCCCTGGAGCCTTCTCTTCTCCAGGCTGAACAGCCCCAACTCTCTCAGCCTGTCCTCATAGGAGAGGTGCTCCAGCCCTCTGATCATCCTCGTGGCCTCCTCTGGACTCACTCCAGTAGGTCCATGTCTTCCTTCTGTTGGGGGTCCCAGAACTGGACTCAGTACTCCTGATGGGGTCTCACGAGAGCAGAGTAGAGGAGCAGAATCACCTCCCTTGACCTGCTGGTCATACTTCTCTTGATGCAGCCCAGGACACGGTTGGCCTTCCGGGCTGCAAGCGCACATTGCCGGCTCATGTTGAGCTGCTTGTTCACCAGCACCCCCAAGTCCTTCTCCTCAGGGCTGTTCTTGATCCATTCTCCACCCAGCCTGTGTTTGTGCTTGGGATTGCCTGGACCCAGGCGCAGGACCTTGCATGTGGCCTTGTTGAACTTCATGAGGTTTGCCCAGGCCCACCTCTCAAGCCTGTCAAGGTCTCTCTAGATGGCAAAGTTAACTCTTGAAGCCACATACAGACTACTTTATAGTTAATCTTTATATTCTTCGTACTGTTGGAGTTCATGCAGGTTTTAAAAACAAAATTTTAAAGTTCTGTCTTCCTAGTGTTTGAAATATGCTGATAAGAGTGTGTGTACAGTCCAGTCTGAAGTTCTCTGATGCAAAGTCCACTAAAAAAACTCTTCCATGCCCCAGAAATTCCACATGATACTGCACAATCATTAATTAGACTGAATGATGTGGAAGGAGCAAAAATTCAAGGCTATCTCCTTTGCCATTTATGAGTTTAGCATGAAAGTCCAAAGTGATAAATGTTTCATTCTTATTTGAAGGACTGTTGTGTAGTGAAATGCAAACCACACTGTGGTTCAGTGGTGGATACTAATTTAATTTTTTCTGTTTTCATATCCCACCTGTGTTGGTTATGCTGCTGCTCAAACAGGGAGATTCAGCACCACTTATTTTAGAGAAGAAGCACAGAAAAGTGACTGGATATTAAAATTCTGGTGTATTCAATCTTTTCAACTGCAAATAGGATGTTAAACATGGAACCAAACGATCCTTCCCCCCCTGCCATTTTTAGTACATTACCCTGCCTTATTGGTAATATTGTAGGACGAGTAAAGTCCGTTTCTTTTGCTTTTAAACTAAATCTTTCTGCTGCATTCTCTTCTGTATTGCTCTTAAGTGTCCTTACACATGTGATTCAGTACATCATTGTTTGGCATGTTTTTTTCAGAAACAAATACACTCTTATGCAATTGCATTTATCTACAATGACAATCTACATTTATCTGCTTGCATTTGGTGCAATTTTCTAAACTCTCCAACATCTCAGATTTTACTTTATCCTCTACTCTTGATAATCCCTGTTAGTGTAATAGTGGCAGGTTTGATAAGTTTAAGATTCAGCTCCTATTGTAGGTCATTTACAAAGACATCAGATATCACTGACACTAGCTATGCTCTGAAATTGTTCCCAGGCTTGCTTTGTTAGGACCAGCTGATTTCTGCACAGAATATAAGGCTCTTACAGTGGTTAAAGTGAAAGGAAAAAAGACAAATCGAAAGCAGTCTTTTCCCCAATATTACCTGATTCAAGCAATATACATTTTTGACCTGAGAAATTTTACTCACATTCTGGGATTAGACTACTGATAGCACAAAATATTTCTGTTTGGCAAAGATCCCCAAATCTGCTCCTCTGTATGAAGGTATTTAAAATTCAGTGTAATTAAAAAAAATAACTTTAATATTCTGAGAACTGGTCAAACACTGAAACAGAAATAATGAAGAAGATAAATTACAGCAATAAACAAAGCTGTGAGACGAGTGCGTGAGTGCTTGTGAAGTAAGTGTGTGAACGTGTGACAGCGTGTGTCAGGCTGGACTCGCTGGTGAGCAAGGGAGCCACAGAGCAGCAAAGAGGGCCCAGGATCCAGGCAGGCATATGAGCGAGGCTGGGGTTCTGTGCTGGTATTCGAGGGATCTGCAAGTGGAGGTATGCTCATGAATCTAGAAAGTGAAGGGCACGGGTGTTTTCACTCATGAACTTCAATTCCAATCAGCCAGAGAAGATGACTGTACTTGTGTTTTATGTGAGTCCTGGCAGGGCTACTCGTGGGTGTTGCTAAAGGCAGTGCCCTGTCTGAGGCAGCCTGTGCAGTCACCCCTGTGAGTGTCATGTGTGTACCCCCCCGTGTGTGTCCCTGAGATACGTGCTAAGTCTCACTACCAGCTGAACCTGGAAACATGAAAGCTGCAGTCACCTCCACCAGTGTGGAATGGAGAGACATCCAGGTCTCAAGGTGCAGCAGCCTGGGATCCAGAGACCAAAGAGGAGGAATCCCCAGGTTCTGGAGTCCACCCAAGGCAGCAACCTTATAACATCCCTCAGCACAGTCACTTCAGTATCAGGAAATGCAGGCACTACTGTTGTTTGTACAGTCCTAATTTGACTTGGTCTGTCATTGTGTTTCAAAATACTGTCTTTAATTACATGACCTCATTTATTTTTTCAGATTCGATGTATAGGACAGATGATGCTTACCTAATGATCTGCTGAGTATCTTTTTTGTGCAGTTCCTAGGCCTCATTTACTGCAAACCTTAATCTGAGGATGAAGTGATTAATTTCCTGTGGGGTCTGTCAATAGAGTATCTAGGTGCTTCACATTCAAGTGATATTTTCTTCATTCTACAGATAGGGGACTGAGGCACGCAGCATGTCAGTGAAAAGTCACAGCTACAGTTCGGTGCCTGTGTGTTAGCAAGGCAGGAGCACTAAAACAGGGAACACATTACTAATTTCCCCTCTGCAAAGTCTGGTTTAAATATCTTTCCTGGCAGATACAGACCTAACTTAAGTTCTCCAGAGCTGCACACAGCTGCCTCAGCTGTAAGACCACTTTTTCTGCACCTGCAATCGTTTGGAATGTTTCTGAACCCCTTTTAACTTCTTCAATTAATAAAAAAGAGGTATGACTGTATTTTTATTACACATTTTTGAGCATCACTAAAAACAATGCCTTGCAATAGGATATATCAGGCAATATAATAAAAAAACAAAGCAAAAAAACCCCATGCGATATGTATACAGTCTCATCAGTAATGTATCTCCAAGCACACGTTGGAGGAGATAAATATGTTGCCCCAATCCTACTGATGAGGAAGCTAACACACTAAGATATGAGAAATGGTTTGCTCTGTATCACCTATCAGTGAATGACCCAGCTGAGAAGAGACTCTCACTTACAAAGCATTTTTTTTCTTCAGGATTCCAAAACATTTTACAACCATGAAAATTATTTACTGTATCAGCTACACATGGATAAGTTCAGTTGCAGAAAGACTACACAGTAATCAGTGACAGAACCGAGTCCCGTAATTTCGCAGTCAGTGAAGCCTATCAGATTGTAACAGGCTGAGCTGTGGAAGAGTTTTCAAAACGCCATCCAAGTTTCTGCGTAACTCCAAACAGCACCTACATGACCCACATGTGGAAATTCAGCTAGTTCCATAATTTAGCTGTTTATTCAGCAAAAATACATTCCTCAGACATACTGTTGCTTAGTTTTAAATATAAAAATATATTTATGTTTTTCATATAAACAGATATATCAGATAAACAAGAAAAGTCGAGACATGAAACTTTCAGAAAGTTTTCAGAAATTTCAATCAATTTGTAAACAACAAAAAAAATACTATACTTCTTTAACAAAATACTTGATACAGATTTTATCATTCCAGATAAGTCCCTTATCCTAGAGTGAAATATAAATACTAATCCAGCTGAAGACTCAGGGCACACAGCATATGCATACTCTTGGCCAACTAAGCACAAAAATCACTTGTAGATATACCCTGTTTGTTGTCTTCTAGAGTTTGTAACACAGAACGATAATTCATTTACCTGAAGGTGTACAACGTATTCTGACACTGCTCTTCCTGAACAATTGCTACTTGGTTAAGAGTCTGTATATTCAATTTTAACCCTGCACGTACGGACACACGCAAGGCTTTATTTCCTGTTCTTCACAGGAAGGATATCTGTAATCCAGTAGTGAAACAGAGCCGTGACTATCTTGGTATGATCTGAAACAAAGAAAACACATTCCTCCTGAAATATCTCTATGACATTTCTGAACATTAAAGAAAAAGACTTATGCAAACATCTGTTTCCACTCAATATCAGCATTTCAGTAAAACTAATGAAGATATTGGAGCTTGAAGACTAATACATATGCACTTTAGATAAACAGGTGCATTTTCTTTTAGGAGGTCAGTTGAGAAACAATTGAGGTATCAGAAACAATCTTGGTTCTGTATTTTGGAATGTCCTATTTGTTATGATTCAATAATCCAGAAAAAAGGAGATTGAAATGACATGATATGTGGGTAAGACTAAAAGAGTACAATCTTCTTCACTTCTTTCTGTCTGGGGAGTAATTTCACACTTTATTATTTAATTTACACTAGTACCTAGAAGTCCCAGTTGAGACTGAGTCGTCTTGTACGGACAGCTGCATTAAAGCCTCAAAATGCCATGGCTTCTGTCTTAATTCAGAGATTATCTATGTGACTTTATTTTCAATGACAGGACTTTCTACAGTACTGATGTCATAATATCACATTTAAGATGATTCTATAATGTTATGCTATTATAGCTTTCACATTTCATTTCCTTTTCTTTGAATGTTCATTCAGAAAAGAAAAAGAAAGGTTAAATTTAATAATTTTAGGGCCTCTATGTATCTAGCCTGAGCACTGCTGGCATGCAGTAACTGTATTACTTCTGGTCTGCAAAATGTGACACCCTCACACACCCCCCCTGCAAGAGATACATATATAAAGGACAACTCTCCAAAAAAAGGCAGTTAAAAGAAGCTTCTAGCTCTCCTGTGAGTGCTAATTTCCTAGGCAACAAGGGAAGAGTATATATGAGACTTGATACTAACCAACAAAGGGAAAATGTTAATAGATAATGGAATGAACTTGATAAGTAGAAGCTGGATGACTTCATAAATTAGGAGATAATGACTTTTTTTTAATTAGGCGATCACCTGTGCTTTAATAATTCATGTGAAATGGGAATTAAGTAGCCCTCATTTCAAAAGCTACAGTTTCCAAACAGCAAATGGAGCATTACTTCCACTCACAGCTCTTCTCCTTCACCCACTGCACTGTGAAGGATCATGAAGGTGTCTGGCTTCCTTCTGCAAATGGCCACTGACTTTCTGACAGAGATCTGCCATGCCCCCATCACTAGAAATGCATGCCTATTTGACTTCTAAACATTCTCTTTCCTGCATTTATAGAAGACTTTAGGCAGAGGTAAATACTTTTTCTTAAAGACTACCAAATAAATGGAAATAGTAATAGGATATTTTGTTCTTTTTACAACCTGAGAACAATGACAGTCATGTTCAAATAAAAACTCTTGATCAACCTCCACTTTGTATGAATGCTGAAGTACAAGGTCAAAGGTACCTTGATGGAGCAACCTGAAGCACAAAGTACCAAGGTAAGTTGATTGAGGATGACAAATAGACAGAACAACCAATATCTCTTAACTATAGAGATTTTATTGTTGAAGTATGCTTTCTCATTTAAATGAAGGGTTACAGAAAATATCTTAATGTTGATAATTTTCTGTTTCAATCTCCTTAGCCGTTTCCTCTTCCTGCAAAATTTTTCACATCTTACCACCAATGTTACACTTGTCTTTGATATGACTGCAAATATTGGGATCTAAGAGCTTAAGATAAAACAGAAACATTTTTCTTCATTGTTTCTTTTTTCTTTTGGTTGAACCATGATTCCCAATCTGAATAACATACTAAGAGGTGTGAAGGAAATACCAAAACAGGGTCTCGAACCAGTGGTTCTCAGTTTGTGGTCTGCAGACCTTAAGCAGTCTATAGCTTTAGTCCAAAGGGTCTGTAAAAAGTTACTAAGAAAAGCAAATTTATCATCAGTAGGCATTAACTTGCCAAGTGGGACTTGGTAGCCCCAGTGGAAAATTAGAGTAAATCATAACACAGATATATGAGGAAATAAAAGATATATAATGGTATATTTACTTTGTAGAATTTACTAACGTAGACTGTGTATTTATATGAAAGAGATTAATCACTTCTCATTTTCCTTCCTTGAATTAAAGACAAAACTGAACAAGCCATAGCACCCATTATTCTTCCTTTGATGCTGGCATCTTAAGTAGAATCACAACCACAGGAAAAAGGGTTAACATACTGCTTCTTGAATGAATAAGGAATAAAATAGGCTTATTTAGAAAAATACACATTGCTAAAATTAATAAAAATTGTTTTCATAATGTTAATAAGGAATGACCATTTCTTCTAGTACACCATGCCCCAGCAAAAATAAAAAAAAAAAACAGAAAAAAGGCAAGATAATCAGAAAACCTTATAAAAAATAGAGATTACTATGATGTACTGTACATTTTTATCTTCATAAACAGCCCTAACCTGTATTTGTATAACAAGAACCTGAATTTGCTGAAACAACAGTTTTTGTAGTAAGTCTTAACTTTTATCACCTGTGATTGGGAATAAAATCTAAAATTTAAAAAAATGGGCACAATGACTTGTTTTCGAGACAGAAGTAGGAAAAACGTATAATTAAAAGTCTAATTCAAGGTAAAATTTCAGAGCACTATATTCTCATTCACTTAAATTCCTGAATAGAATCTATTGTTAAACTCTGCTAAGGTAAATTAATATCTAGCATGTGTTTAATTATCCTTTAATAATTTATAACAATGTATTTTCCTCTTTCTTCTGTTGTTGTTACCTCATGAATATCAAATCAACTACTATGGTTACACCACTCCGAACTTGTAACGAGATTAGAATTGAGCCTGGAGTGACAACAGTTGCTAGGAAAAAAAATCAACTGGAAGAGTAAATGATTTCAGGCTGTATCAGTAGAAATATAAATTAATTTTAAAAAACACTGAAAAAATTGTCTTCTGCTTTTTCAAGTGACAAAAAAATAAGTCAGAAAATTAGGATAGTTGCATGGATTAGTTTCTCATTTGCTTCTGTTTTCTTTTCTCTCTTTAATTTGACATTTCTGCTATATAAAAGTAAACAGAGCAGCTTGCCTCAAGGCTGCCAAACCAAACAGAATTCCTACTGTATTGAGCAGAATTTGCATAAGGCCTGTAAGGCATCCTGAACATAGTCACTTCAACAGTTTAATTTTGATTTAATCAACAAAAGCTGAAATAGCTAATTTAATAAAGGGACAATACCATTACCACTAATCCTGCTGAGTCCTACTTTGTTTGCAAATGTGTCTTGCATTGAATGAGACTATCTGATTATAATTAAGATCATAGAATCTAGGCTTGAAATTAATTATTGAATGCACAGAAGGATTCTGTTCCATGTATATGTGGATATCAAAACCTTAAGTTGCCATATTCCATATCTATACTTTAAAGAATACGTATGTACGAGTGCCTTTTTCAAAATGCATCAGCGATGAACTCTACAGGCAGGAATTCTCTTTCCTGTGTTTCTACAATGCACAGCATGCAGTAGGCTCCAGTCTTCACTGGGATCTTTAGCCACTATCATGCTGTAAATTATTTAATAATGTTACAAGCAGTAGTCTCTTCTTTGAATGTTACTGCTAAGCCTCTGATGGCCATGATCTTATTTACTCTGTTACCACACTACTACCAGCTCAGTCAAAAGACTTAGAGAACTCTTTAAAATGGCTGAGATTCTCTCATGCTATAGCAAGTGCCCTCAACTCTGATTAAACTCTTTGGGAGGCAAGAAAATTCAGCACATCTTGTAGATTTGGCTGAGGCTGCAGCAAAAGTACTAACGACAAGTAACAATGACTATTTAAATGAAGACTACTTGGAAAATGAATTATATGTTCTATGGACTACATGCTGATCCCACATTCACTTGAGGAACTATTAAATGTCCAAGAATAAATTCTACTAAAATTATAGGGGTTATAATAGAGAACAAAAGGAGCATGAACAAAATCAGACTTATGCCTCAGGGATGAAAAGATTTAGTAACAGAGTAATTTTTCTTTTTATGAATGACTTTATAATATCATTTATTATAAACAGTGGCTTTAGGTTTTTACATAATATTTCTTAGAAACTTAAACCAGATGTTTATATTTAAAAAAACCAAAGCCGTAAATCAAACTTTGGCATGTAAAATCTATGTATTAAAAAAGCCATGTAGGTGACCAAGAAGAAATAAAGTAATGGGCTTTATTGATTCTTATACATGTAAAATTAACCCTGAACTGGATGAGGGAAATGTCCAAGATAAGTTAATTCCTGTAATTTAAAAAGTCCATAAAGATAATGTATTAAAAATATGCTTTAAACATGAGTAAATCTTAAACGTTGAGATTTTAAAAAATATTGTTTTAAGAACCTGAGTCATCTTGTCCTCTATAGTTGCTGCAAACTATGAAAAGTTTCTGTACTAATTGTAACCAAACAAGAAACAGGGAAAAATCACTGTATCTTTGTTGGGAATTATGCTTTCAAATCGCATACAAGCATCTATTTCCCACTAGACAATTATTTACAGCTTCCTAAAAAAAAAAAACCCAAAACTGTGACAAATCTGAATTTTTATCCACACAAAAAAGAACATCAGGGAATGAACAAGAGTGAATGGTACCTACCAGGAGGCATCATGGATTGTTCCTGGAATTGTTTCAAAGCATCCTTCAGCCTCTCAATATCCTGCAGCAATACAAGGGATTTCAGCTGATGTAGAAGAGTCACATCTGAGGAAGAGATGGTTCGAGATTCAAGATATTGTAACAGCTCTTGGGCAGTTGCTGAATTTACAGCAGAATCCATGCATTTTGATTTATCTGGAAAAACAATTGGAAAACCACATTAAAAATACTCAATGAGCACAGACAATTTTCCTAATTATACTCTTTTTTTAGTTCAAAACCAGCATCTTCTTTTTAGTACAACTTACAACCAAATACCAGGTACTAAAGAGCAGCTTGCTCCTCCCATTTTTCATTAAATATTAAAACAACGGTAAGAGGGGAAAGTGTATCAGACACAAAAACTAAGAAGGACAACAGGCTTCCTAGTGACAGGAATCTAAATTTTCAAGATTAGCACAGGAAGAAGGTGCAACGAAGAAACTGTACTGTGGCCAAAGCAGTGTTTTTGCTTCCTACACACTACATACTATAAATATGCAGACACATGTGGAGACAGGGACAACTCTGTGGAGCTACTGCAAAGCACTTCTGGAGGCATCCAGTTATCTCGTTATTGTACTTTTACGTTTTTATTTAAAAAGCAGATATTACAGCATGCAAGACAGCAGAGAGGGACATACACTGTTTCTACAGTACTAAATAATAAATTCATTCTTCCATCCCAGTAACAATGTATAGTCTGTCCCTTTAACCAGGCTCCCTTTCATTCTTCTGGTTTTTATCAGCAAGCCAACTGAGAACAGATTCTTCCTGATTCTGCTTTCTGACATAAGTTGAAGAAGTACAATCCAATGTGACCATTTGAAAATGCTGTTAAAAGCAATGGCTTCCAATTTTATCTAAAAAAAAGGGGGAGTGTTAGTCACTCAACTAGAAAAGGCAAACAGCATAATGTCAGATCTTTATATAAACTGGGATTTGCCCAACAAGAAAGTTAGTCACACTCTGATTTATGGATGTGACATCTTGTCTGCAGATGAACTTTCTTTTACCTGAGAATTTCTCTCTGTGTATTCCAAGGTTGTCCCTGGCTCAACCCCTCCGATCTGCAGGTTTGACACCAGGGCCAGTCAGTCTGTCAACCACTGCTAAAACCTGAACTTGACTTCCAGGAAAGCTGGAAGCTCAAGACTTTTTCTCAAAATTCAACATTCAGCTGAGGACAATTGACCAGGTTTCTGTTCTGGGTCATGTATTATCAGCAGAACTGTTAACTGAGTTTGCAATCTGACTCAGTTATTCTGGAGTTCCACTACAGCAGCTGCACGTAGTTTAGCTTACATTTACTTAGCCATACACTGAAATAGTAAAATTCATATTTTTGGTGAGGGAAATACAGTAGCCAGAAAGTAGGATGGATTTCAAATGCTAGGCTTAGTATGAAGACCTGACACAGCAGAAAAATTTTAACAGTAAGCAAAGCAAATTATATGTATAAATCTTGATTAAAAAAATAACACGAAATTCCTGATGTAATCTTAGCAAGGTTTTTAAAAGAATTCTGTAGTCTGGAGATGAATTTTATGGGACTAGACGCTGACAGCTCTGACTTAAGATGGACTCATACAGGTTGGTAAGCTGTTTAATGTTCTTCATTCAGCTCCACAAAGACAGTGAAGGCCATGAACTCTGAAAAATTTTTCACTGCTTTTTTCCAGTTTTACAAGACAGTTATCATCTTAAAGCTATGAGCTGAGCAACTAAAGAACACACCAGCTTGCCTTCAAGAAAACATATTTAATTCTAGGTGATACCAACATAATCTGGTGTTTGTACAGATAATTATTATACTTCCCATTAAAACTTCATTCTCTCTGGAAGGTATTTATGACATAAGCACCACAGGAGCAGCTTTTTAGGAAGGCGATGGAAGAAACATACAGTAGTGATTTCTCTGATTTTAGTGGCCAGATGAACATTCAATAGGCCATTAGGGATAACATTCATGCAGCCCCTTTTAAAGTGCTACGGAATGTGCATTGAGCATCAGTTCACATTAATCTTGTTCACAACTGCTTTATGCCAATACACTTTCCCAGTGCCAACAGTATCTTCCCCTTTCCTCTTGGGTGCTGTCTGTCTAGATTCCCTTATATACTACAAACAAATCTCCTGGGAAGGAGAACTTTCTGAAAAACAGGTTGATTCAGAGATAGTAACAATGAAAATAGTTTAGGATAGCAATTTTTGCCCTCATTTGAAGCTCTCCGAAAGAAAGTAATCCTTCTGGATGTTCGCTTGCAGAGGAAGAAGAATTTGGTCCATTTTAACCACTACATTTATCCCAAGTGCATTGGAATGTTTTAAAAGAGAGCAAGGAATATTACTTATATTTTCAAAGACAAAGACATTAGGACCAGTTTTTTATACTGATGTGGATTCTTACATATTTGTGTACACACCAGAAAATGGGACAAATACTAAGTATTCGCATGTCTCTCTCAGTTCAAAATGGACACTTCACTAGTTGATTTGGCCCATTCTACAGAAATAATAAAAGCACATCTATTTTCCCTTACATGGTAAAACTCATGAAAAAGAGAGAGAGTGGTACATACTTTCATCAAAATAAATCTGTTGTGTTGCCTGCAGGAAGTCCAGAATGCTATCTGCCTTTTCATCTATGTCTTTTAAGCCTGCTGCTTCTTCTCTGTTGTTTTTGTCAGGCTCATATGTAAAATCCACACCGGTAGTTTTTGTTACCAAGCCAGCTGCTCTCATTTTTTCTTTCTGACGCTTCTTTTTCATTTTCCTCTTTTTGTTTTTGCTTATTTTGGGACTGTCTATCTGCTGCAGCTGTAAATGATCTTGAACAAGAGTCTCTTGCATTCCAGATTCTGTTTGTTCGCTGTGTAAATTATTAGAGTTTTGCAAACTGTTCTTTTGTTTCTTCCTTCGAATGCGCCTTCTCTTGGTTTGTCCTTGATATTCCTCCTCTGCAGATTCAAAAGAGACATGATAGTTGTAAATAAGAAGATCTATAATAAGCATTTTGGAACTACATACAATGTAATGCTACTCCCTTCAAATTCTGAGATGCCTGAGTGGCTCTAACCTGCCTTTTATGCTTTGAAAGCCTTTCAGTACTACCATGTCAAAGCCAACTTCTCTTAATGCATTGAGTAAGACAAGCTCTTTTCCCTTCTGCTTTCAATAAAGACTGTTCTCTCCTTCGTGCTACACACTTTATACCGCATTTACTTTTTGAAAGGCACATAATATGTTTCTATACAGAGAGTGAGGTCAAAAGAATCACCAGGAAAAAAACCCAGTACGAGCAGGCTGGGGCACACAGGATGAGAGAGCTCCCTCAAGAGCCTGTGATAGCTCCACTGGGCCAGCCCTCTGCCAGCAGCCAACACAGCCGTTCACCCACTTCCCCCCAACCCCCAGGGGATAGGGGAGAGGATTGGGGGCAAGGATAAGGAGGCTTGTAGGTTGAGATAAGAACAGTTTAATAATAGAGAGAAAACTTAAAATAATACTAATATTAAAATAGTAATGATAACAGTAACAAAATACGGAATTGAGTGATACCCAGTGCAACTGCTCACCACCCACTGACCAAGCCCAGCCTGTTCCCAGATAACGATCCCAGAGGAGCAACAATCCCGAACTGAAACCACAATCCCAGAAGAGCGAGAGCCTGAGTGAAAGCCAGAGAGAGCTAAAAGAGGAAGAGACCCTCACTAATATACTGGACATGACATGATATGGTATGGAATAACCCATTGGCATATCCAAATGTCAGTTTAGCTTATTAATTTAAATATTCCTCACCCCCTTAAATCTTGTGCTGTGGTCTAACAGAACACAAAGTCCTTCACTTCCAGTGACAAAAATGCAAACACTGGTGTGTTATCAGTGTCTCTCTTATAACAAGTCCCAGGCTAAAAAGCAAAATGCAGCACTATTCTAACTACTGAAAAAATCCCCAGCTCTGTTCCAGATAAAAACCAGGACAGAGCCCTACATCACCAGTTGGTAGACTTGACCAAGAACACAAAGAGAATGCATGTAATTCACAATAAAAGACAACAGTGCTTATATCAACGATATCCCTCCATGATAGTGCTGTACCTTAAAAACACCAGACATCTTTTTCTGATTCTTCTACTTTCTTCTTCTTCAACAGCTCCCTCCTTTGGGATATCTTACTGCTAGCTCAGCTTTGGACATCAACTTTATAGGGAAAGCATGCAAGGCATCAGTGACCTTGGCAAGTAATCTCTAATCTCTTTAACAGCCTGCCTTGGTTCTGTCATTCCCTTGGTATATTATAATTTCCTTACTAGCTAATTCAGCAAAAGGCTGAAATGTCAAGGGAAAGAAGTCCCTCTTGCTCTCCAAGACAGCTTTCATGCTTCTTTACCCAGATCTTATCCTTGTACAGAAAGCCTGAGTCCTAAAGTCATCTCTGACCCTGAACTGACTGCCTCTCCCACATGCTTACTTCCGAGTGTAAGCCCTCCTGGCACCAGCAAGGGAAGACTGCCAGAATCCATCTTCCCTTTGACTGCACTGCTCTTGAAGTCCATATTCATGCCTATAATTCCTGTCTAATTAAATGGAATTCCCTCTTTCATGGTCTAACAAAATCCTCACACATTTAAACACCATGGAGTGCAGAATACCAGTGTTGTTTTAATGTCCTGCTCTAGAAAGATATTTATCCTTCCCTCAACCTCTACCTGCACGTTTCTAGATTCCTCACAGTGCGCTGAGACCAGTGCTCTTATTTACCTCTTTTTACACCATTCCCTTAGGGTTAAAGAATCTTTGCTCGGCTGTGCTGGTGTAATGCAAGAGAGACACCTGAAGCCCCACGCTTGTTTGTGAATGATCTGCATATTCTCCTCCACTGCCTCTGAAATTCTCAGCTTGTTTGGCTTTATCACTCCTCCCCCTACCAGTCTTTGTCTCTATTTTCTCCATGGTTGGCGGCCCTCTCTTTCATTTCTGTTTCTTTTTCTGTCTTGAACTCTGTCAGCTCTGAGCCACTTTCTCTCTTTAAATATCACTACAAGACTTTTAGTTCTTTAGTTAACAGATGACTCACTGCAAAGCAATTTTCCATACTTTCTATGAAGAAGGCTTCATAAAAATAAATTTGCTGTATTGTAATTGAACACCACAGCATGTTAAAGACACATCAAACGTCACCTCGTACCCACAGTGTGGAGTGTTTCGCACACATGGTATTTGAGCTAAATATCTTTATACATGATTTGGACATATGGGATGTGGGAAAAATAACGTCTGTGTCGTCCTGTAGGAATAAAATATCAGAACTGAAGGTGGATATGAATGGTGAAAGATGCTATAAACAAAACACCAATGTTTTGTCCTAAGATCTAATTTGGATTTTCATGGGAGCATTTGTGTTATAATAGGTGAATTTCACTGTAAACATAGATAACGCTGTTCCATAAAATTTCTCAGCCCTCTGTGAACCTGAACCACACTGTTTGCTCACAAAGCTACTCTAATCTGTGCTTTCAGCAAAGTGGCCCAACGTGTTCTTCCAGCATCCAAGAATCACTAAATCTCTGCAAAACTACAGCATGTTGTACAGCCAAGCACCCTCAACTGGTTTCCAGCCACTTGAAAAAAATGGTGCAGAAGGAAGAACAGGGCTTAAGATAATTGAAGTTTTGAGTCAAGTGCCCAAGTTTGCTTATCCTTGGTAGCTGAGGACAGCAGAGGGTCTGAAGAGACCAGGGTGAAGCTACCGAAAGGCAGAATGAATGTAGTCTTCCCATGTGTATGTTACTAAGATAAACACTGGACTGAAAGGAAATCAGAACTGTGCCGAGTTTCCTCCAACACAGAAAACAAACCGAACACAAGACCTAACTCAGTGCTCTTGAACATCTAAACTGACAATCCTCCAGCAGTTTCTGTCATTCTTTGCCCCATATTTTAATATGTCTTTAGTATCTACTGCTCCATGCGTGGGAGCTACTAGTGATTCAACATCAGGAACAGATGAAATTAGATGCTAACAAATGCAAGCCAATGCACACGAAAGGGATTAATCTGAACAACTCACTGCTAGGGTTAGAGTGAACTGTTATCAACTCAGGAAAAACAAAACAAAAGCCAGACCTGTGCACTGGTACAGAAAGCTCAATTAAAACATTTGCTCAGTGGGCATCAGTGATCAAAACAGCAAACACCTTGTTTGTATACATAAGAAAAAGCATGGAAAGTAACAGCAAAAATATTCCAAAGCTATTATACAAAGCTGTTGTACTCTTCAAGCTTGTAACACTATGTTTCTTAGCATAATCCAAACACAGTAAGGCTCTGGCAGACAAGAGAACTCTCTCAGAAGTCATCAGAGGGGAAAAACTCCAGAAAGATTTGTATGATTTGACTTGAAAGAAAGAGTAATAAAATGGGTTGTTTCTCCCTCCTCATGCAAGAACAAGGTGACATCTAATTAATCTGAGGAGCTTCACAAGCAAATAGAAGAAAGTAAACACTTAAACAAACGTTTAAACCCACTGAGCTTATTGAATTCACGTGTGTGTGGTATGCACAGGAACCAAGAGCTTATTTGGGTTCAAGAACTGGTTGTTTCTATGGCCAGCAAGATTATAACAGCTATTATAAGAGTTGTACAAGAAATATAAACCATCCTGTTTAGCTTACAGCCCACACAATGATCTTAACAAATGAAATGTTCAGTGGGATTCACCTCCCACAACTTTAGCTGTCTGAAAGGAAAATACTTAGCACATACTTCGACTTATGTTCCCTTTGATAAACCAAGAGAAGCTAGCGTCTTCAGAAAGCATTTTGCCTCATCCTAAACCAGCTGGGATGGAAATGCACGCTCTGAAGGTCTAAATCTCTCTTTCTCCCCTTCCATTAACTACAAAGGAAATGTAGATAATGAATTTGGACTAGATGCTTGCAACATCTAAGAAGAATTAGTCTCTTACAAATATTAACAGTATGGAGGAAGGTGCTTCTTAAAATGAGTCTGCTTATCAGACTGATTTCTACTAATTAACAAAATTCACTGTTTTATGAAAAAAACCCTTTTGACTGCTTCTCTACATTTCAAACCACTAGGGAGGCTGATAAAATTTCAATAGATATGCAGGTGGTTCCAATAATTTTTCCCACTGACTGAACAGGTTTGTTATGCCAAAGCAGCATAATTATAACAAATGCAGGGAATATACACTACACAAGCAATCTCAGGAAGGTGTTGAATACGTACTTAAGCAACGTTGACAGGAATATCAGCTTCTGGACCACACTAACTATAACCACAACTGCAGCTACAGCTTGTCCTAATTCCACAAGAGCTGATGATTCTTCTCCTTCCGTTCCATAATGGCCTGTCACCTCTCTCCCTCCTAAGACCTCTCTCTGCTCCACAAGTGGCTTAATTTATCACATAATCCAATTATCCAGAAGCAATTGTCTTTAACCTGTTTAGTCTGGATTTGGTGCCCTCTCAGACTGAGCAAAGTGGCTTCCAGACAGAATGTCCATATACATTTTCCAGCCACAGTCATTATTTCATAAGCATTTCTTTCAACCTTAATAAGAACACCCTCATCAGGAACTGTTTAGAGTTAAAAATAACTGCCTTAATAAGAACACCCTCATCAGGAACTGTTCAGAGTTAAAAATAACTTTCTTTGTCGTTATTTTGTTTGGTTTTTTTGGGTTTTTTTAGTCTAGAATACTTTCCTGATGCAGTTTACCATGCAGCTGCACAGCCACATTAGCCTGACTGACAGAATGATATGGAAATGGGAATGAGTAACCTGAAAAGGACAGTCAGCACCAAAAGAATAAGTCATCTCTTAACAGCCTATCTCATCTAGACTGAAACATTAAAAAGTTTTCTCCATGCAAACTGCATGTCTCCTTAACAGAACAGAGGCAGAAATATGTAAAAAAAAAAAAAAAAAAGACTTAAAATGAAATAGAGGACTCAGTTTATAGATACTGCTTATGGAATTTTG